GGGGGGGGGGAATTTTAGGGTCCATAGGGTCTTAGAAGGTTAGACCAGGGAGCTTCATCCGGCAAGTGATACTGGCTTGCAGGTAACAGGATCAGTTTTAATCCAAATGTGTCAATCTCTTCCTGTGGGATGTTCTTCAATTCAAGAGGTGATGCTTTTTAAAGCTGTTTTTTCTGTGGCATTCTTCGCAGCCACTAGAATCAGCGAGCTGGTTCCTAGGTCTCGCTTGGATAAATTGGGCAGAGCACTTTACCTATCTGACCTTCAAATTAATAAAATTGAGTTCAAATATGTTTTCAGCATTTTAAGACTGACCAGTTGGCTAAGGGACAAATAATTACATTGTCTAGAGTCTCTTCAGGTCAAATTTGTCCTGCTCTAACCTTGTCAGATTCACCTTGGGATTTGCCCGACTAGACCAGGCTACTTGTTCCTTCATGTTTAGGGCCTTTCATTGACGCAGTTCCAATTTAGAGCTGTGTTGTGAGAGAATTGAGACATGCCGGTTTGCCGGCGGCCCAGTTGTCGGCCCATTTATTTTGGATAAAGGCAGCAACTGATGCTGCTTCACAGGGTGAGATGATGACACAATCCGACAGATTGGGCATTGGCGGTCCAGCGCTTTTAATCCTATATTCGCCCATAAGTTATGGGTGGTTCATAGCATTATCTAGTTGAGGGTCAGTGTTATACTTAATATGTTGTTTCTTTTAAAGCAGATCGGAAGTTTGAGGATGTTCGATCAATAGACATAGTCTTGTGTTCTGGGCAGAATGTCATGTGCTACAATCTTGTCATGATAGGAATATGGTGATAAGAGGGTTTCAGTGAATGCGATGGTTTGATAAGAGAGGAAGGCTATGGGGAGCTCTCATTCCATGCATCATTAATTATCTGAGGCATTTTCACCACCCAAGATTCTTTTGATACATATGGGAGAGAATGACCTTGTTAAACTACATGGTTTTAAGTTGAACAAAATGATTTTGAACGACATCCAAGACATTAAGAGGAGACTCTCAAACACGGTGGTGATGTGGACCAAGTTTTTGCTGCAACATGCGTGAGTGGGACCAAAAAACGATTCGTCGATCAACGCAGCACGTCGCTGGCTGAATAGATTTATGGTTGAAAAGTTGGGAGTTTTGGGTATTGAAATTGTGGGGCATAAGACTATTCAAAACTATAGGCTACATTTTTACAGGGGCGATGGTGTTCATCTATCCCCCACTTGTTTTGATGTATACTTGGAGTCTATCTCTCGTCATATTGAACGAGCTCTCTGGGGTGGGGGGGAGGGGATGCCAAGCTAGGCTGGCCCCCTCCTGTGGCGGGCAGGATCCCCCCCTGGGGATAAGTTAGATAATTGAAATTATGAAATTGGTTCAAATTTAAGTGGACAAAGAGTATGCGTCAAAAGGGGTTAATCCATTTGTTGCTATGTCATCACACAACAAATTGATGACGGCATGGACATGTTACATCATGAGCTGAATTATGATGTCATTTTGTTTGGAGAGATGAATTATTTGAGGTGGGGTTTATTTAGAACTTGATGTTCTTGACACATGAATTAAAGGGATAGATTGACACAGTTGGTTAAATTAGATATGTATAAAAACACATGTGTCAAGAACATTAAAATTTTTGGTTAAAGTGAAGTGTTAAAATTGTTGATTACCCTGTAAAATAAAGTTGTGGCCATGCTTTATAACCATAAAGTTGAGTACGGTGTCATTTTTGTGTCAGTGCAATACTTATTTCCCAGCTGTTTATTTGGGAGGAGGATAGAGGAGGGAATTTTTATTACTTTTAGCTAAATCCAATTTTAGTCCTAAATAAAGCAGATCCATTGAAATGAATGGGTCTAAACTGGTAGGGAATGAAAGTGAATTTAGCCTTTTTTCTCATTTCATCAACACCTAAGTTTTCTGAAGGATGCCATCTTTTCTGTAATATCTTCTCTGATGCTGCTTGTTAACTACACTGGTGATCTCTTGAATGCAGATCTTTTCTGACATGTTGTATACATTGTAGCTGAGCTTGTAGCAAGTGTTTTGGGGAGATTTGAA